CTTTACAGATTATTCAGCCTTCATCAGCCTACTAGCCACATAGTGTCTCAGGTCTACAGGTCCACTATTCCCACTGCTTTCTAATCATGTTGGCTGAAAATCCCAAAGAGGGCATAGCAACTTAAACAGGAAATCACCACACTGGGGAAAGCTGAATTGCATTTTGTCTAGTAAAATCATAGGGCACTGCTTCTACATTTATAAATATATATATGCTGAGGTATGGGTAGGAAGTTGTGCATGCAGAAGGGCTGTTTGCAAGTGATATCTTGGTCATTGAGCATTCTCCACAAGGACATAGCCACACCTGGGTCCTTGGTTTGTTTTAGGTTCATATGGAAATAACCACAATCAATGGCCTGAGGCGCTTGGAAATGTGTAAGCCTTTCTCCCCAACTTGCTGCCATTCATATGTATGAGACTACAAACCTCATAAGATAGCCTGCTTATCCAGTTTAATGAGTTTAAAGTTTAATGAGAATTCGTCTAGCATCTGCAGGTTCAAAGAGCTTTGACTTAACCCAAGCAAGACTGAGTGGCTGTGGGTATTTGGGCCTTCTGGAGACAAGGTTTTTCCACCTTTGGTTCTGGATGTGGTAGCACTCCTGATGGACCCAGTGCACAATCTAGAGATCCTCCTCCTGACTGCAGTTGGCAGCCAGGCCTAGGATAGCTTTTGCACACTTTCAGGTGGTGTGTCAGTTGTGTCCATTCCTGGACCGAGAGGCTCTGTTCACAGTCACCCGTGCCCTCATAACTTTTTGCTTGGACTACTGCAACATGCTCTACTTGAGATTGTCCCTGAAGAGCATCCAGAAGCTTCAGCTGGTACAGAATGTAGCTGCACATGTACTAAATTGTGTCAGATATGTGACATATGTAGCACCACTTGAACTGCACTGATTACTGATGTGCCTCCAGGTCCAATTCAAGATGCTGGTTCTCACCTTTAAAGTCCTACATTGCTTGGGACCAGGTTACCCAAGGGATTGTTTCTTCCCCCAACAGTTTCTACCTGTGGTTTGGCAAGTTGGGCATGCTGAGGATCCTGTCAGCCAAGGAACACCAGCTGGCAGGGCCCAGAAGACCTGCCTTCTCTGCTGTAGCCCCAGCCCTTTGGAACTTCCCCCCTTCAGAGATTGGGATGGCCCCAACCCTACTGGCCTTTCATAAGGCTTTAAAAACTGGCTCTGTGCCTGAATCTTATGGTCCAAAAGCGTGAAGGGTCCTGGTTTTTGGCTTTACTGATAAGTAAATTATTATGATAAATTATTATGGTGTTTTTTTCAGCTGTTATACATGTATTTATTTTGTATTGTTTTTAATTGTTTTGGAATTTTTTGCTCTCCAGGGTCAGTTGAGATGGGTAGCTATAGAAATTAAATAAATAAAATAACGATGGGACTGCAGTCCAACACATCTAAAGGAGACAAGCTCAGAGAAGTCTATATTAAGTTTAAATCAGTATTTCTCAACCGTAGCAATTTTAAGATGTGTAGGTTTCAGCTGGGGAATTCTGAGTTGAAGTACATTCACTATAAATAAGGGGTTTTCAAACTTGGCCCTTTTATGACTTGTGGACTTCAATTCCCAGAATTCCTCAGCCAGGTACGCTGGTTGAGGAATTCTGGGAGTTGAAGTCCACAAATCATAAAAGGGCCAAGTTTGGAGACCCCTGCTATAAATGTTGCTAAAGTTGAAGAATACTGGTCCAAAGGTTTATCGAATGTGAAAATACCCTGCATCTGCTGCAGACCACATCCTCACTCTTGATACCCCCTGCAGCGAACCACTGCTAAAGCACTGTAAAACACTCAAATTTCAGTTCCTAGTTACGACTTGAGAAACAGGCTTTGCTTCCTTCCTGGAAGGAACATGCACTGGCCTGCCCTTGTTTCTGGCATTATGGAGAACCTACATACAAAGTGCTCAAACAACTTTACTTCACCCCCTACAAAGGAATTGTAAAACCCAAGTGAGGATTCCTGCATCTCTCAGCTCTCTCCCCCTGTGGATTCTATTATGGAAAAATCTACTTAAAATAAATGCATCAACTACACAATATTTAGGTATACATTGCATATCGAGAAGACTGTGGAACGGCAAAGCTCCAGATATATAAGCAGTAAATCCTCAGTGTGATTAGCGGAATTGGGGCATACACAGTATTTCCACACATTATTCTGCTTCTACTAATTCTTAGAGAAGAGGGTAGAATCCAGGACCTGTAGCAAAAATTACTCCTGGTAGTACTCTGGAAGAAAAAGGGAGGGTATGATAGACCAAAACAATCTTCCCTTCGAAATGTGTTCAAACTATAAATCTCAGAATTCTATAGCACTCATAACCCAGAAGATGTCATTATAAAAATTGGATCCAAGGCTTGAGAAGCACAAATGACCACAGGACTCCAGCATAATAGCACATGTATTTTGACGCCATCACATAGTGATGTGCAATGACGTCATGATGCACATGACACCACTTATGGAAATTCATGTTTATCATTCACCTCATAAAAGAATTGTGCTGTCAGCCATCCAGAAAGTATCTGAGTCTTATCAAAAGCCATGGATTAAAACAGGGGTCCCCAACCCTTGGACTGTGGCCCACTACTGGGCCGTGGCCTATTTGGAACCAGGCCACATGAGAGGTGGGCCAGTGCGCGGCTCCACTCACACAAGCGGTGCCCCAAAAACTTCTCTTTTCTCTTACGTGAATGGAACTATGTAAGCGCCGGCCCGTCGCTCACACCTCCCGGTTCCCTCTCCTCCCTCCAGCCGGGCCACCAAGTTGCCTGCTCCCAATGCTTCAAAAGCGGAGCAGTGAGAGCAGAGACTAAGATGAGGATGCCTTGCTCAGCTTTGCTGATTCATCAAGGCTACCTGCGTAGGACACCCGATCCGCTTTTGGAGTGTTAGGCAGCCTCGGTGAGTTTGAAGGAGCAGGACATCGTGCCTCAAAGGCTTCTCTTCTCTCTTGCATGAGTGGAGCTACATGGCCCGGTTCCCCTCTCCTCCCCCCCCACCCAGCTAGGCCACCAAGCCACAAAGGTTGGGGGACCACTGGATTAAAAGATCATCTCTCCATAGCAGATTTCTGAAAATAAAAGAAAAATACAGTGCATTTTAAAATGAATCATTCTGAGAAGAGCTCCCTACCTTGTCTTTTAGTTTTTCCATCCAGCTTCTCACTAGAAAAATTAACAACATAAAATTAATTGCAATCAAAAGTCACTGAACATTGTAGTAGCATAAGGCCAACATTAACCCAACAATGCAATTTTGTAGAGGATTAGGAGCTCCCCAATATGTGGAGATCCTTCTCCATGGTAGAGGACAGGTAGTCCTTCACCTACAACTGTTCATTTAGTTACCATTTGAAGTTACAACGGCATTGAAAAAAGTGACTTATGACCATTTTTCGCAATTATGACCGTTGCAGCATCGTCATGGTCACGTGATTTATATTTGGATTCTTGACAACTGGTTCTTATTTATGGCAGTTGCAGAGTCTCAGGGTCATGTGATCATTTTTGCAACCTTCTAACAAGCAACGTCAATGGGGAGGCCAGATTCACTTAACAACCGTGCTACTAATTTAATAACTGCAGTGATTCACTTAACAAATGTGGCAAGAAAAATTGTAAAATGGGGCAAAACTCACTTAACAAATTTTTCACTTAGCAACCTAAATTCTGGGCTAAATTGAGGTCGTAAGTCGAGGACTACCTGTATATACAATGGGCCAGTCGTGGGATTCAAATACCTGAACAACTGGTTCTCTTATTGGATGTAGGCCTGGGCCTCCGGGGCGTAGAACGGACTTCCGGAAGTGGCATCCATGCACCTCCGGTGGGCTGAGACCTGGGAGGTCTCCTCCAGGCCTCCGAGGCCTAGACTGGACTTCCGGAAGCAGTGTGCATTCAGCTGGTTCTCTGAACTCCGCAAAATTTAGCTACTGGTTCTACCGAACCGGTGCGAACCGGCTGAATCCCACCACTGAATCCCGCCCCAAAGCCAGTGAACTAAGCAGCTCCGCCCAAGATTTCAGTGCGTGGATAAGGCCCTTTCTGACACATGCTTAAACTCTAGTAGGTGGATTGGATGACCACCAGCAGCACCTCTGTGAACAGCTCTTCCCCACAGCCCCTCTTTTGAATCCTCGAACAGTTACCTAAACAAATCAATATAAATATCACAATGACACGGTGAATTATATATAATATTATAACTATGCAAAATATAGTTTGCTTTATTCTTACAGTGCTTTTACAATTATGCCCAAAGTTGACTAACAGCTTTCCTGCTACAATGTAAGTGATCATTATGCTGCAGTTACAATACAGTATGTTTAAAATGGGTTTTTGCACTATAACACATTTTGTAAGCAAAATAACAATTTGGGATTTGAACCAAGGCCAATCCTATTCAGATCTAGCTAGAAAACTACACTGACACTGCTTTCTATAAGAGCTTGCAAAAAAGAATCCTCAGTATGATGAATCAGCAGAAATAGCTTTGTTAAACCTACCGATGCCAAAAGACTATTAAGTTATTAAGAGCTGTTGTCCTTAAGAACTGCAGTTGCAAGTTTCAGTGAATAAACAGACTTATATCCAAGTTCCAGAGTATAACTGAAAGCAAGAGTCCCTAACCAATTCTTTGAAAGCATCTCTAAAGCTGCAACGGATTGTGTATGTGTGTGCCCCTGCTTTTCAGTGTATTAGATCTAACTAGACAACCCATGACCCATCAGGTCATTGTTTCAGACGTGTCATCATTTCAGAAATATTTACTTAACCTAAACAGATCAATAGAATGATCACAGGGAGATAAAAAAAAGCAGTGGAAATGGGGACGATTTCTGACTTCCCGCCAGCTTCCCCACTGACTTTGCTTGTGGGAAGCTTGCAGGGAGAAAGTCAATGGAAAAGCCAACAAGGAAGGTTGCAAGTTGATCTGGTATGTCTGCCCCACTTGCACATTCTCCCCAACCCACACCACACCCATGTGCAATTTCCCCAATCTATGCTGAACTGTGGCACACCCTCTCTGACCCTTGTCATGCCTCTTATGCACCCGTTGCTTCCTCTATACAGATCCTTCCTACGAAGAGATTGCAGAACAGTGTTCTCCAGTGGGGTTGAGAGGAAATATTTATCCTGCCTAAGCCACGCTCAATGCCTTTCAAAGAATCACCTCTACTTCCTCTCTTAATTTCTTTAGGAAGTTGTGTCAAGCACTGGAGAAATCAGCAGATTCAGGCAGTTCAAATGAGTATAAAGATTTATTGCAAGCTTATGCTCTCTACAAGAATCTAACCAACTGACAGTTAAGGGAAATAAGAGGGAGTTATGAGAGGCATTCAAGGTGGGCTAGAGTTAAATCTCTTGTGGGCATGCAAGGACTCATGACTTATGATGCGTTTGACCCTTCTGTCAGGCTCAGCCTGGTCACCTCCTACAAGTTGCTTATTACTGATTTCTTTGGAGTTAAGAATTTTCCAAAAGACAAACTGTATTAAACTGGGAGATTTTCCTTCTATTCTAGACAAAAACAAAACCTAAGTAAGTTTACGGAGTAATAACAGAAACTTTAATTTTTGACAAACAGCACAAAGGGAAATAAAATGTTGATTTTGGAAAGTTAAGATGCTAGATGAAAGAATATTTCCTGTGGGGTGCTTAGAAATTTATAAAACAGTATATGAAGTCTTTGAAACTACTCGTAAGAGATCCTCCTGTGAGAAAATTTTGTTGATTGGAAAATAAACAGATGATCAGAGGGGACCTGAAGGGGAGAACAAAAGATTTTTCTTGAAGGAAAACAAACACATTAATACAATGGAGCAATACTATTTGACTACAGAAGAAATAAGGCTGTTTGGGAACTATTTACCCAGAGCTTACTTACAAAAGGAAGTGATACTATAGCAGAGGATGTAGAAGAACACCACATTTTATTGGATAAAACAGAAACTGAGTGTGATTTGAATATGGATTTGAAAATTTAAAAAATGCTGGATTAGAAAAATGATGTGGAAAAAGATGTGGATCTTAACATGGATTTTAAAATGCCAGAATGTAAGAGTGGTATGGGAAACAATGCCAAAATGGATTGATAACTAAAACCAGTTGATATGGGACACAACTGAGGAGAGCATGGCAAGATGGCTCATTGATATAAAGGTTCCTGCCATGGGCAAGGGGGTTGGACTAGAGAACCTTCAAGGTCCCTTCCAGTTCTATGGTTCTATGACTCTATGTTCTAATAATCAAGGAGGAAATACAAATAATAAAGCAGAAGAGTGAGTTGGAAAGCTTTCTTACTTTGGATTTATAGAAGGAATGTGTGGAACCAAAAAAAAACCTCTTCCTGAAAAGAGACAAGGAGTAATTGTTCAAGCTGTGCTTTGAAGGAGGACAAAGAGAAAGTGATAAGAAATCAACTTGTGAGACACTACATGTTGGGAAGATTTATAAAGTGAATCGGTTGGATAAGAGTTAAAATACATATCTTATGGTTTTGTCACTTTCTTTTTTTTTCCTTTTTTCTTTTTTCTTTATTATTTCTTTATTATTATTTCTTAGCTTGCATTAGTTTTTTATCTTTGTATTTATAAATTTTAATAAAATTACTGATAATCCTCGATTTATGATGACTATTTTCCAAAGCGCCTGAAGTCAGGACAAGAAGCAACAGATGGAAACTAACCAAAGAGAGAAGCAACCTAGAACTAAGGAGAAACTTCCTGACAGTTAGAACAATTAACCAGTGGAACAACCTGCCTCCAGAAGCAGTGAATGCTCCAACACTGGAAGTTTTGAAGAAGAGACTGGACAGCCATTTGTCCGAAATGGTATAGGGTTACCTGCCTGAGCAGGGGGTTGGACTTGATGACCTCCAAGGTCCCTTCCAACTTTATTATTATTATTAAATGAGCCCCAAATTTCTGTTGCTAAGTGAGACAGTTAAGTGAGTTTTGTCCCAGTTTACGACCTTCCTTGCCACAGTTATTAAGTGAATCAGTGCAGTTATTAAGTCCGTAACATGAATCTGGCTTTCCCATTGACTTTGCTTGAGAAAGTTACAAAAGGTGATCGCATGACCCTGGGATACCGCAACCGTCATAAATATGAGCCAGTTGCCAAGCATCTGAATTTTGATCATGTGACGATGGGGATGCTGCAATGGTCATAAGAATGAAAAATAGTCATAAGCACTGGTGGGATTCAGCCAGTTCGCATCGGTTTGTCAGAACCGATAGCTAATTTTTTGTTGAGTTCAGCGAATCTGTTACCATAAATCTGTGAGGCATGTCATGCCGGTGATGACGAATATGCAAAGCGCGTCGCGCTGGTGATGACGACAATGTGGTGATGATGGATATGCAAGGCGCGTCGCACCAGTGATGACAACAATCCAGTGATGATGAATATGCGAGGCGCGTCACGCCAGTGATGATGATGAACAGAACGGGTTGTTAAATTATTTGAATCCCACCACTGGTCATAAGTCACTTTTTTCAGTAGCATTGTAACTTTGAATGGAACTGTTGTAAGTTGAAGACTAACTGTATTGAGAAAAATAGAGGAAATGATGATCACATAACCATGGCTGAGTGTGGCAGTGCTGAAGCAGCCACAACTTTTCCCAGTTCCAATCCCATAGGAATAATAGATCGGATGCATTCTGTAAGTTAGTCCATCTGAGGTATCTTGGTTCAAAAATTGTTACTCTGTGATGCACCTTTCGTCCAGTTGAAGGTTACAAGCAGACAAACTTGTGACACAAGCTTTCGTGTGCAGTGTGAGGCATGGCACATAGCTGTTTCACTATATTCTACATTGTTTAGACCCTTTTCTTTAGCTAAGATTCTGAAATTTGAGTAGTTTCAGAGAAAGGCTGCACAGGTAATCTGGGGCCTGAAATTGCAAATATTTCAATCATTATGTGCAAATTGGGCAGTTGTATACATTTGTTTCATAACATAATAAAGAAAACAACTGAGAGAAGTGGGTATGTTTAGCCTTTAGACAAATTGTCTGACAGGCTGTGTGATAGCACTGCTCAAATATCTGAAGGAGTGCCACAATTTGCTCTTCATTGTCTGAATGGAAGATACACAATAATAGACTTATGTTACAGAAAATAGATTCCAAATGAATTTTAGTGGGGGGGGACTTCCTAA